GACAGATTCCTGTGAGAGCTGGAACACGGGGCAGACTTCAAACTGCTCCTGGCACTGAATGTCAGCCTGTACAGATCTCTAATTTTTGGCTTCTGCAGCACTGTGTTGGTGGTCACATAAGGCCCTCCTCCAGGCAGAAACCCAGTGCCCGAGTGACGGGAGGTGGGGAGGTGGTGGGAAGCCAGAGACTTGCACACTTCATTTCCTGATCCAGGCACCACATGTTACACACAGGACCTGAGCCTGGCTCTCCTGGCTCCCCCATTCCCACCCCCATCTCAGGGCTGGGACAGGCGAGGTATGTCTGGAAAAGAGCAGAACTTTGCCAAGGTAAGCATCTCTCGATGCCAGGCAGTCCCTCCATCCACATCCGCACTTGCCAAGCCTCATTCATGTAATTGTACCAACCCAAGCACTGCCAGATGCCAGGTGGCTGTAAGTACCAAGGGAACTGGGCATACCAAGGATGCTTTCCATCATTGTGTTGGAAAGATGCTCATTGATGACTTCCTGATTCTTGAATCACTTACACTCCACGGGGAGAAGCCCTGCTGGTACTTCATGACATTGGAGGGTCTTCCTAGCTGAGCAGAAGTGAGCCTAGGGAGATAAGACCAGATTCTCCCTGCCTCCCAGCCCCAAAAAATCAGTCAACTAGTTTGTTTTGAAAGTTTTGATTGGGACAGTGCTTGAAAAGTGAAGCCAAAAATTAGGAAAAGAGGTTTGTTTATTTATTTACTTTGGGGGGAAAAAAAGAATGAGAAAGAAATGTTTTATCCACTGGTTCATTCCCCAATGTCCTCAAGAGTCAGAGATGAGCCAGGCTGGCAGCAGTAAACAGAAATTCCATCTGGATCTCCTGTGTGGGCGGCAGAGTACTGGGCCGTTACCCCCTGATTCTCCGGTGCATTCACAGAAAGCTGAATTAGAAGCAGAAACAAGACTTGATCCCAGACACTCAGATATGGGATGCGGGCATCCCAAGCAGGTGTCATGAACCTGCCCTTGTTTTATCCCACCTGCCATGCTGCTCTCAGTGTGATTATCCAAGATACCTTAGACCCCAGGCAAAAGCTTCTTTATTAGCATCTTTAAAATAACAGTCCTCCTGGCCAGTGTCATGACATAGTAGGTTAAGCCACAGCCTGGGTGCCAGTATTCCTCATGAGCACAGGTTCAAGTCTGAGCTGCTCCACTTTTGGTCCAGCTCATGGCTAATGAACCTCAGAATGCAACAGAAAATGACCCAGGAACCTGGGCCCCTGTAACCCATGTGGGAGACCAGGATGAAATTTCAGGACCTTAGCTGCAGCCTGGCAAAGCCCTGGCCAACGTGGCCCTTTAGGGAATGACCAGCAGGTATAAGATCTGCCTCTCTGAAACTTTTCCTTTCAAATCTATTTTTAAGATAATTAAAAAATAACAGTGTTCTAATTTCTGAAATCAAAGGAGTTGCATGCCCCAGTGGGCAGCTTTTCGATGTGGGGTTCTCTGCTGTTTCTCAAAATGATGTACTTTGAATCATAGTTTTTATTTAAGCATTCAGTAGTCACGAAAGGATCATTTTTCTAATAGCCTAATTTCTCCAAGAACCTCTCTCTGTATTGTCTTTGTCTTCTAACACATCTTTTTACCCTTTTAATTCACATTTATTTTATACTGAATTTATTCCCAGTCCATACCCATGTGGGAGACCGGTGTCTGGGATACCTTTTGCTTCTGTGTCACATTCTCTCCTGGTATAGGAATCACACGGGGTTAATTTGACATCACCTCCACTGACATCATGAAGCCTCTGTCTTGTGCAGCAAGGCTTTAGTTTGGAATATATTTCAATCAGATAAGCGAGTCTACATTGCCTAGCAACCAGGTACACTGATGCATAGCTAGTTCACCAGTCACTGTTAGCTTTGCCAAAATGCTCAGGTTGGGATTGGTGCTGTGGCGTAGCAGGTAAAGCTGCTATCTGCAGTGCTTGCATCTCTTGGGTGCCACTGGAGTGTCTGCTATTCCACTTCTTTTTTTAAAGATTTATTTATTTTTATTGGAAAGGCAGATATACAGAGAGAGAAAGAGAGACAGAGGGAAAGAGCCATCCAGCAGTGTTCTCTGTCTCTTTGTTGCTCTGCCCCTGGAACTCAGACTTTCCACGTAAAATACAAAAGCCTAACAAGACAGAGAAGTACATGCTCTGATAAGTCTTTCCACCCCATGAAAATCACAGCTACAGAAGGGAGGGGGGAGTGAAAGACTTGGTCAGGCTGCAGGCTTGGCAGCTGGAGTGCCATGTAGGGATGTGAGGTGGCTCAAGGAAAGCCAACATCCCGTAAGCCGAGAGTTGTGAACTCGGCTTTTGCCTTTCCAGAAATGTCTCCAGTTTTCTTTCTCCCATTTTGCTTGTCCTCACCAAGATTCCACCAGAATTGTGATGTTTTTATTAGAAGAGAGAGCTGGGATAATGAAATAAATGCTGGCTTAAATATTGGTTCCTGGGGGGAAAAAAAAAGTATTTCCTAGCATTTGGCATTTGGAGGATCTGCAGAAATAAACAGTGCTTTTTGAATACTACAAAACAGGGCTAGGCAAGGCTAAGCAAACTAAGGTTCTTTCCAGTTCCACAGTAAATTCTTGAAGCCCTTGTCATTCCTTCAAACTCACATAAAAGCTGAAGTCATCCTTGCACCATCAATCTTCAGTAGCAAGCAGACAATATTGCCTTCGTGTCCCTTAGCTAGGATTGGAATCCCTACAGATAAATGGACTAGCTCCTGAGTAGCGTGAGTCCTTTACAGGCATTGCTTCTGGCAGGAGGGGTATGGGAAAGCAGTCTATGGTGAGGGACCACGGACGGTGACTCATCCTTACCAGTCTTTGGGCCACGCAGGACTGGAGTCGGCATCTGAGAAATCATTCTCTGGTTTTCCTTGTTGACGTTGCCAGTGCCTGTCTTCGGGTTCCAGGAGCAGCCCTCACACTCGCTGTCACACCGCCCTGGCAGTGCTTGTTATGCTGCTGGGAGGTCTACCAGCTGTCTACTTTCAGACCCCACCCCCCCCCACCACCACCACCACTCCCTGTGTACTCTGTTACACCTGACCTGACCTGGGATGGGCTGACTCGGCTCTCCAGCAGATATTCAGAGTCCATTCTGAATCCTGAGTTCTGGCCATACGACCTGTGTGAACTTGCACCTGTGAGTGTTTGAGAGCATGGCAGCCTTGGAAGAAGGGCTGTGGCCAGGTGATCTTGACACCCCAGATGAGGACAGTGGGAGCAGTGTGGGAGCGCTACAGCCAAGGGAGGTTTGCAGAATGGCAATGTGCATCACGAGGCAAGGGTGAAGACCAAAAACAGGAAAACATGGGCAAAAATGGGTGCCCAGGTGAGTTTTATTTTCCGTGCTATCTGCAGTGGAGAGAGGCACTTGGGATCACTCATCCCTTGACACTCACGGAAGATGCTTGTTCCAGTCCCTTTTTGGCTCGGACACTGTGCTGTCTGTGGACTGTATTGGGGAATCTGCATTTTTCACAGTATGCCCAAGGTAATGCTAATACAGATGGTGACCCTGGGTCTCCACAGAGAGACACACTGCCCTGAGGCACGTGAGGCACCAAGATCCACCGTTTCTGAGACTGGGAGCTAATCAGGCCTCAGACTTTCCTTTTATATTCAGGTAGTCCCATCACTGGTCCTCTCACAGTGGGTTTTTTTTTTAATGTTTTGTTTTATGGCTGTTTTCTAAGGCAAATCATTTTGAGGCTTGCGTAACAGCATCCGTAAGAGTCCAGGCCAGTACGTTGTTACGAAGTGATCACAGCTATGCAGCCAACAGCCAAATCCAGAGAACATCTGCACGCAGCCCAGGAACCCCTTCCATCTAGCACCTCCCCCAAGTGCTGTCTTCATCTGAAACCCTGTGAAGTATTAATCTTTTTATTTCTCTTCATTTTATAATGTCCATCATACATTAGAATTATAGACTATATAATTTTAAAATGAATTGTGAATGCCCACTATTTTTAAATAATGCATTCCACCTGTTGACAGAACTGGCTGTGTGGATCTGAGCTAAGCTATGATCTTGGAAATCGGAGAGTGTGTGTGTGGGTGGTGTTTCAAATGGAATCAGCCTGCTGGCTCCTTTCCGTTGTGTTGTGTTGGCTGGCCTCACTCACTGGGGTTTTGGGGCTGTGCAATGGGGAGGAGACAAGTTTGAGAGTCAACTAAGTCTGGATGCAGATTCTGTCTTTGTCCTCGTCAGCTGAAGGATCTTGAAGAAGCCCCAGGTCTCATGAAATTTGAGGGTCCATTGTAACAGAGCGTGAACTCGGTGTGAGTTTGTGTTCCTGGTCCTCCCCCAGGAGCTGCTGGCATCCCCAGACTGTCCCTCCTTGGCAGTGTTGGCTGGGCCCCAGTGACTCAGAGGCCCTCTGGTTACCAAGAGCCCTCCCGATGCTTCGATGCTCTTGCATGGAAATCCTGTCCCAGGAGAAGCACAGCTGTTGCTCCTGGCTCTCTTCAGGCCCTCATGTGCAAAGCCCGGCCTGAGCTGACCACTGGCCTCACTGCTGCACCTGACTTACAGGGGGTGGCTCAGACTAGACAGAGAGAGAAACCATCATTTGGTGCAGTTGCTGCTAATTCCTTAGGGTTTGACTGTGTAAGGTCTTGGAGGCTCAGGTTTAGGATGTAGAATGAGCAAAAAGGGACTTGGAAGGCAGCCAGCTTCATTCTCTATCTGAATCCCAGAAGACTTGAAGCTCTATGGCATCTAGCTTGGGTCCAAAGCACAGAATGGAGAGTGGCTATGAGCCTGCACCTGTCTTCCCAGGGAAGCAGTGGCAAAGGTGGGCAGCCCACAGAGGGCTGGGGTTTGGTCCAGTCACCGCCAGCCATGTCACAGCAAATGGTTCTGTATGATTCCCCAGGCCTCGCCGAGGCCACCACACAGCTGTCTTCCTGCAGCTGGCCCATTTGTCGGATCTGTTCTCTTTCAGGAGGAAATGGGCATTTCCTGTGAGCTGTTGGAATCGGACTTCCTCAAGTGCAGCGTGGGATTTCCTTTCATGAGGTCAAAGTCTAAGGTAAGAGGCACTGATGGGCCTGAGCCCTTCCCGCCAGGCATGGATGCTGCAGCTTCCTCTCTGAAGTGCCCGTGTGCAAACGTGCATGTACACACACACACACGCACACACCTCTGCTTCCCTCAGCGGCTGTGGGGCCACTCTCCCACTCCCAGAGGAGCTGCAATTACACAGCCCCTCTCTTTGGTCCTCGTGTTACACCACCAAGTGTAGGAGAGTCTTCATCGCCTCTGTATTTTGGCAGGTAGCCCTGATTGGCCTCACAACAGTCTGTCTTCCAGAACATTCCATACCCCAAGACTACACAGGAGAAGACACGGTCTGGGCTGGTGGCCCAAAGTCTGTGGCTCCCAGTTTCTGGAAGAGATGGCCAAAAACTCCAGAAGCATCCATGACAATGCTCTAGTTTGATTCTTCAAAAGTCAAAGACAGTGCTGTCGCCTTGATCTTTACAAGGGGACGAGTTTTCTTCACTTTGGCAGTTACGCAATGCAGCACATCCAGATGTTTACAAAGCAGTTGGGTTTCCTCATTATAAGGAGTGGGTGGAAACCAGATGCCGAGAGGCCAAGTCTGTCTTTTGAAATGGAAGGTCTTTCCCCACTGTGATGTGAAGGAGACTTCATGCTACTTTGTCTGCTTTCTGCCCCCACCGTGCCACTGCCTGGGTCAGAGAATCAGATCAGATTCCTCTCTATGGCTTTGAGGGCCACCCCCCCCCCCCCCGGTACCGAGGCACTGTCTCATGAATGGGTGGTGAGCCTGTTACAGTGACAATGGAGACAATAGCCTTCTTTCTCTCAAGCCCCTTGAACTCGTCGGCCCCAATGGTACCTCCTGCGAACTGTCGTGCCTAAGAACAACCTTCGTTCCTCTGCTCTGTCTGCATTCACCCCACAAGAAGGGAACCCTCAAGAAGTGGCTCTCCAGGGCCAGTGTTGGGGCATAGCAAGTGACCTGCCATGCCGGCATCCCACATGGGCACCAGTTTGAGTCCAGGCTGCTGGACTTCTGATCCATCTCCCTGCTAATGGCTGAAGATAGCCCAAATGCTTGAGTTCCTGTCATCCCTCATGGAAGACCCAGAAGAAGTCCCTGGCTCCTGGCCTTGGCTTGGTCCAGTTGTAGCCATGGCAGCCTTCTGCGGTATGAACCAACAGATGGAAGAGCTTTGTCTGACTTTCATACAAATAACTTAGTCTAAATTTTAAAAATGAAATGGCTCCACTTATAGAAGGATTGCATGTAGCAGGCAGGAAATGGGCCAAGTTCTGCTGGACTGCAGGTGAGGGTAGAAGAAAAGAGAAGGAGGCCCTGACCGTGGGCGCCCTCGTCTGCAGTTATGAGTATAGTCCCTCCATATCTGTGTCTGGCTGAAAGCTTTGGAGTAACAGAAAAAAATAGACTTCTTCGAAAAACTTCAGTAGTCAGCATTTCATTATGAACTTTGTGGTTTAAAGTCATAGAGCCAAACTAAGCTGCATCTTGCTATCTTTAATGGAGTTCTTAAACTTTGCCCCAATCTGTTAACTTTCAAAATAGTCACGGAGCCAGCAGAAGAATGACTGTTAAGCTAATTTTCCAGTGGCAGTGCTGCTACTTTTCTCCCCTGTCCACAAGTCGAGGCTTGGATGTAGTAAAACTGGGGGTCCTGGGGGTCTCCATGTTCCAGATTACCTGCTCAGACAATGCAAGACACCTCCCTTAGGATGCCCGTATGTTCCTGTCTCCCAGGACCGGCATGAAAGAGAGAGAGACTGTCGGCTGGGTCGTTCTTCATACGGCTCCCACAGTTGGGTCTCGGCCATGCTGAAGCCGGGAGCCTGAAACCAATGCAGTAGGTTGCAAGGGGCCACATTCTTGGGCCATCTTCTGCTGCTTTTTCAGACTTACTAGTAAGGAGCTGAGTAGGAGGCAGCACAGCTGGGACTCAAACAGTGCTCCGCTGTGGGATGCCATCTTCCGTTGGTTTTTCTGGCCATAAGCAGGGAGCTGGATCAGAAGTGAGGCAGCTGGGATTCAAATACACCGTGCAAGCAGAGACTTAGCCCACTATGCCACAGTACAGACCCCCATCACATAATAAAATACACCTTTAAAAATGTTAATCCTTAAGAAAAATAAGGCAAGAAAATAGCAAGTAAATGTCTCAAGTGACATGATACTCAGATGTGGCAAAAATCAGAAATATGCTGTACCAGTGCAATTTGGAAGGTTACTTTCTACAGAGAACTGCCGGGGGGATGGGATGGCCTCCCTGCTGACCTTTAGCCTCTGTGCTGGCCTGGCACGAAGACTTGCCTTTTTGCATCAGGAAGATGCACACATAAAGTCCAGCCAGCCACGCAGGTGGACCCCCAGAGGTCGTGAACTTCAGCAGCCTGCAGCAATCTCGCTGCCTGGTGCTGGTACCAAAGGATGCCTTCTCTTCCCCTAGTATGACTTCAGTGTGATCTTTGACACGAGCCACCTGTCTGGAGAGGAGCCACTGCTCAGCTTCATTGTCACTGCTCAGAGGTAAGAGGGATGGAGCCGTTTGTTTTCCAAAGATGAAGGATGTAGGGGGCCAGAAAGGGACCTGCCCTAGTTCCACCTCGAGGATCCCCCTTGCCTGACCAGGTTGCCTAGGAGGGGGCCACAGCTGCTCAGGCTCGAGGCTGCCAGCTGCTAAGTGGAGTGAGGGATCTCCTGGAGATTGGGGAGTGGTTGGTTGGGCCCTCCCCAGCTGTGGGGTGCTGATTGGGGTGCCGCAGCCAGTTCCATGGCTGCAGAGCGCCAGGCCCAGAGAGCCCAGGGTCTGGTCCAAGGCCACGGGCTGGTCAGTTTCTGTGTGAACCCTCTGTGGTCAGATGTCTTCTGAAGCTTGTCAGACAACATTAAGAGCTTCGTGCAGACCTGCTGCTGCCCCTGTGATGTTAAGAGCAGTCCCCTCAGAGGATGCTCTTTGAGAGGGAGCTTGACCCCCTGTCATGGATGGTTAGGGAAGGGGATAGTGTGACACAGTGATGACTTCTGCTCCTGGAATGTGCACCTGCCGCTCTTCAGTACCACCATGGGCGGTGTCCAAAGGAGCATTTAGGGAGTCCTGAGTACTGCGAGCCTGAACCCACAAATACCTCAAAGTCACATCTGGGGAGCCAGCGGTTCAGGGGGAGGGAGAGACCCTGGCGTAGGTGAACAGGAGGAGCCAGCTATGACGGGGGACAGTCAGATAGCCTTTTGCTTCTGTTGTGACAATGGTACAAGGAGCTCCTGTAACCCTTGTTCTCCAAGGCACCCAGTGCTATCCTCCTTCTGCTGTCTTTGTTCTTTTCTTCTATGTGGTATTTTTTCTTACACATCTGAAAGTTGTGGAAATCTTATCCCTTCAACTGCAGGCACTATAGTGTGCATTTTCTGGGAAGAAAGCCTCTCTCTGAAATGGCCCCAATCTCATGATCAAGTTTAGGAGCTAAGATTTTGACACAGTAAGATTATCCAGTTTACCGCTCGTCTGCCATTATGCCTTGGTTGTTGTCCCCAGTAATGCCTTTGTCTCCACTTTCTCACTTGACCATTTTTGTTCATGTTATGTTCAAGATCAAGTGAATAATGTTCATATAAAACACCCAAGATGTGATTGGAACGTGTATAGGAGGGTGGAACTCGTTCCATGGCTGCAGCACAGAAGGGCTGGCATTGGCCGGGGGGGATGGGGAGCTGGCACTGAAACAGAGGATTTGGCTTCCAGGCTGGAGCAACACATCTTAGCAGAGAGGGGAGCCCATGGGCCACACCTCGGAGGTGATGTGCAGGCGTACCCACAGTCATAGTAGGAGGCCACACACCTGGGCAATGGAAAATGGGGCTGAGGGGGTCCAGGGAGGCAGGGCCAGGAACACTCTATCCCAAAGATGGGAAAGGGCCGGAGCCTGGGGCACATCTGTCTGCGTGTTGCCTTTAACACCTGCCACCTCCATGTTCCCGCTGTTCCCAGGAAGGAAGGTGCCACAGGGAATGTGCCCGCTTCCCCAGTGCCTGCAAGGCTTTGAGGTATTGGGGTTCATGATGGCAGGATGAGGAGGGGCTCTCTCCTCTGCCAGAGTACTGCACCCACAGGCATGTGGTTCTCTGGCCTCAGGCACATACCACAGCCACCCGGGAGAACTGTGGAATACCACTGATCCCTGGGCCAGCCTAAGGGATCCCTTTGAACTGGATGAGGATGAGACCCGGGTATTGGGGCTCCTTAAGAGTTTCTAACAAGCAGCCCAGATGAGACCCACCATCTGCAGTCCCTCACTCTGTACCAGGCAAACATTTGCACTCAGTGAATATCTAGTAGGCACCTGCTGCCTACCAGTTGCTCTGCTAACAGGTGGAGGCATCTAAGATTTTCTACTTCCTGAAATCACAGATGTCCAGGAGGCCTCGTTTTCTGGTACACATTCAATAGATTTGTTGTAGACCTGGGGGGAAAGCTGGTCCTCCTACCCCCAGAGGTCCCTCAGAACACTTGACTCCCTGCTGTGATGGGGAGAGAGCCTCCACGCACCTTATCACCACCCTTTGAAGGTCTGTCGCCTACACGTATACTTGGGAGGACATAAAGCTGAGCCTGGGCAGTTTCCCAAGACCAAGACCTCTGTTGCTCTCAGCCAAGCCCTGGAAGGCGTCCCAGCACACGAGTTGGCAGAAGGACTGGAAGCCTTTTGATGTTGAGCTTTTTTATCTCAACTTTTCAACCTGGCTCATTCTGAAGCCATTGCCCGATGACGGATGACCTGAGCTGCCAGCAGCCACAGGTGGCTGGACTAATGGCAGAACAGGGCGTGGCTCTGCCATCAGGAACCGATTACTCAGAGCTGCCTGGCAGGGTGTTGGGAGGGAAGGGAGCAGGCCAGGGTGCTATTGTAGACAGATGAATGACCCAAGGCTTTTATTGTACCCCCGCCCAGCTTTGGAGAGCAAGAACAAACACATTCAACGGCCTGGGCACCTGACCCCGTGCTTCTGCACGCATTGTGGCCGCCCCATGAAGACTGATGTCATCCCATGTGCGGAAGACAGATGAGGGGCCAGGGGGCAGTGGCTGTGGCCCTGGTGGGTCAGGGTCCCAGAGTGCCATTGTTTGAGAACAAAAGGAGAGCAGAGGTGAGGGGTGTGAGCTTGAGTAAGCCCCGGTGCCAGTCACCACTTGCAAAGCGGGGGGTGGGGGAGAGGAAGGTGGAGGGCCAAGGCTTGGAAGGGGCAGAGGGAGGGCATGGGGTGGACAGGGACTCTGCAGATGCTCAGGGAAGGATGGGGTGGAGTAGGGTGAGAGTGGTGAAAACACACAGTGATTAAACCCCTCTGGGTCTGGAGAACTCTGTGGTTCCACCCCAAGAAGGTGAACTGGGCTCCCCTCTGGGACTCCCCCTTTCATGGGCAGTCAGTGCCAGGTTCAGCAAGCTGCACCTAACAGGGGTACTTTTCCCAGACCAGTCCTAAGCACAACAGTTCACACCTGAGCTGGCGCAGGTAAACCAAGTCATTTCCTGCCTCTCCTTCTCTTCTGTGCCTGCTCCTCGGTCTCCCCCTCCCTTCTCCATCCCCTAGACCTGTATCCATAGGAGGAACTGTGATGAGAAGGGCTCCTATTGGGAGTCTCAGCTGAGCTGGTTGGAGTCCCATCTCTGTCCAGTTTGCCCTGGGCCACAGGCAGGTGACCCAACCTACCTGACCACTCACCAGCAGCAGGCTGGTCATGTTTCCACACCCCACAACAGTCCTCCTCTGCCTTCTCACCCAGCAGGTGCAGCAGCCTGTCTCTATAACAAGAGGTCCTGATGACATTGGTCATGACAAGGGTGCGCCAGGCCTCAGGTGCAGCAGCCTGTCTCCATAGCAAGAGGTCCTAGTGACATTGGTCATGGCAAGGGGGCGCCAGGCCTCACTCCTGTTCCTGGCTGTCCACAGATAATGGGTTAAGCCTTTGGGTAACAGATTCCCATCAGAGTCTCACACCCCCTTCCGGGGTGCCCTGATTTCATTGCACTGGTGTTATCAGTGGGCACTTGCAGAAGTAGTGCATGCCCTGGGTGCTGTTACTTATGGATCCCTCCCCTCTTCCCCACACCTACTGTTCACTTCCCATCACTCCCCACCTGCCGCCTCTGAGGCTTTAAAAAAAAAAAAAAGATTTATTTCTTTTTACTTGAAAGAGAGCTTTACAGAGAGACAGGGGAAAAAACTTCCATTCTAGTGTTCACTCCCCAGATGGTTATAACAGACAAAGCTGCAGTCAGGAGCCTCCTCCAAGTGTCCCACATGAGTACCAGGGCCCAAGGACTTGAGTCTTCCTCCACTGCTTTCCCACGCCACAGCAGGGAGCTGAATTGGAAGTGTAGCAGCCAGGACATGAACTGGCACCATGTGAGATCCTGGCACTTGAGCAAGCATGCCATCACCTGCTGAGGTTTTCTCCAGTCAGTGTCCAGTCTGGGTGACAGGCCCAAGACCACAGAACCCTGGGGCCATTAGCAGAAGGCCGGTGCCCATGTCTGCAAGTGGAGGGATGTTGCAGTGTTCTCAGAATCTGCCAACAAAGGAGAAGCCCAGCAGCCTCCAGCTTGACCCCCACTGACCATCTCGTCGCTCTTACCTGCCTCCCTCCCCACTTCCCTATGGGCAGCTTCTGGGCCTGCCTTCCAAACAGGCAACTGGCCTTCCCACTTGGTGGAGGTGGGGAGCAGGGGAATCAGACCAGGAGTGGCACCAGCCAAGTCCAAGTGCAAGCTTCCCTCAGAGGATGGACAGTCCCAGCACCAGTGTGGGGGCCAGAGGAGCCAGCTGCCTGATGGCTGGTGTGGCCAAAGGTCATTCCTACCTCTGTTCCAATGCAGTGGCAATGTGGAGCGCTCCAACTCCTTGCATGACAACAGCCTCACGCTGACGGTGCCGCTGGTGCACGAGGTGGACACGTCCATCACTGGGTGAGTAACCTGGGACTCGGGAACACCCTCTGGGGTCTCTTCTCCAGGAGAAGCAGGGCTGGTGCTCCCCCTTCCTCCCTATCCTTGTCTGCATCCCAACTGATCACATGAGAAGTTTGAGACTCCTAGTGTAGTCCAGGGACTTCGCTGCCCACGTGTTCCCAGCCCTGTCACCACCTATACACTTAAGGTGGCAGAGCAGGCAGCATGGTTCTTGGGTTTCAAACCTCAGTCAGCGGCTGCTGGACCTGACATTGCAGCCACATGGGTGCCAAGGGCTGCCTCTCTGCTTAGCAGCATGGTTGGCCTTGGCTGTTTATGCGTGTGTATGGCTCTACCTGACATCCAATGACCCAGAGTGGATAAGGGCCCTGCTGGCTGACTGGGTTAGGCCACTGCAATTGTTGGAAAGCAGGGCTGTGGTCGAGGGGCTCATGTACCCAAAACATCTAAGTCAGTATTGAAGCCCAAGCTCTGACCTGGAAAAATGAGTACGTGATTCCTATTTCTGACTTCAGAAAACAGCATTTCCAACCCTCTTTGGGAGAGAAGTAGGAAGATGTAGGCCAGCAGTGTCCATGATACGAGGATCTAGAAGTGCACTGAGCTTTCTGGAGGTTCTCAGCATTGTTCTGATCAGTCCTCCGGTACTCTGGCTGTAGCCTGGACTCAAAGTGGCCATGTTGCCACATCAAGGGAGGTGCCATCCCCACATGCCTCCACTTACTGGGCCCGACTAGACAGGCAGGATGTAGCCAGTCTGGGGCATTCCTGCTTCTGGAGCCCTGGTTGTTGTTATCACATCCCATTTTTAGTCATGAGGTACTGATGGAATATATTTGCAAATTAGCATCTGTTTGCTTCTGTTTATAGCTCTGCTTTTAACCAGCCTATTTGTCCTATTAGAAGCACATATCCTGTATATACTGAACTAAGCCATCAGGGATGAAAACGCCTCCCATCCCAAACCACACGCAATTGATCATGCTGTCAGGCCATAGGCAGCCTCATCATTGGCTGTTAGCAGCCCTTGATGAATTTTCTGTTAAACTAACTGGTCTACCTCTGAGCTATCCAGGAAGACAAATGCAATGGGTTCCCATAAGCCACTTCTTGCCATTTGACAACATTGGAGACTCAGACTTTTGCTAAAACAATGTGCTTATACTGCACAGGGCTGTGTGGCTGTCTTCTTGGCCATGGTCCCCACATCTCACGTGGCTCTGTCTGGCAGAGTAAGCTGCGTCTAACGTCTGGAGCTTATGTTGGCTCTGGCAGCATCGGCATGAGCCGTGTTCTTCTCGGGAGCTTGTTGACACAGCAGTGTTGAAAGTATTGTTCCAATCCCAGCTGGAATGTTTGTCTCCTACGTTGCCACTGTGTGGTTCTGAGAGGTTTATCCTATCACTGAACTCACTGAGCTTCCAAGACACTGGTTGCTTCTAGTCACTGTGGCACTCTGCCCAAGTTTAGGCTTTTACCTTTTTATTTATTCTTAGGCATATGAGAGGCAGGCAGAGAGCGTGTGTGCTCCAGTCCAGATTCCCTCGCCAGCTTCCTGCAGCAGCCAGGACTGTGCCACACCAAGCTGGGAGCACAAGCTCCATCCAGGTCTCCCACATGAGTGGCAGCAAGAACCCAGTCACTTGGGCCCTCACCCGTGCCTCCCAGGATCTGCATGAGCAGGAAGCCAGAGACAGAGGTAGACTGAGCCCAGGATCTCTGTGATGTGGGTGGCTAGGCTAAATGCTCACGCATTAGGGCATTTAAGTAAATTTGTCACAGAGTAAGTTTGCAAATGAGAAATATTCATTCCCATTTATTTTTTTTTTAATTTGTGCCTGGCACAGTAGCCTAGCATCTAAACTCCTCACCTTGCATACACCAGGATCCCATATGCATGCCGGTTCTAATCCCAGCTGCCCAGCTTCCCATCCCCACTCTCTGCTTGTGGCCTGGGAAGCCAGCTGAGAACAAAGCGTTGGGACCCTGCCCCCACATTGGAGGTCCAGAGGAGGCTCCTGGCTTCAGATTGGTCAGCTCCAGCCATTACGGCTACTTGGGGAATGAATCAGCAGATGGAAGATATTCCTTTCTGTATCTCTTCCTCTCTGTATAAGACTTGCCAATAAAAATAAATAAATCTTTTAAAATTTTAGATGTATTTCTATTGGGAAGACAGTTTTACAGAGAGAAGGAGAGACGGAGTAGGCCTTCCATCTGCTGGCTCACTCCCCAAATGGTCACAGTGGCTCCTGCTGAGCTAGACAAAGCCACGAGCCATTAGCTTCCTCCTGGTGTGTGGTGCAGAGCTGCAAGGTCCTACCCCTTTTGGCCATCCTCTGCTACTTTCCCAGGCCACTAGTAGAAGGTGGGATTTGGAAGTAGAGCATGCATATGGAATGCTGGTGCTACAAGGTGAAGAATTAGCCACGTTAAGCCATTGCCCCCTTTCCCAATTATTTTTAAAAGTTTGTTTTCTCAGATGATAAGACCTAAGATGTCTAATGGGATCATCAAGCTTTTGAAAGACAAAGCTCTCATAGTTTTCCTCCCCACTTCAGAAACAGAACCCCGCAGTGTATATGTTCTTATTTGTGTCTCTCATGCCTGGGACCCCCAGTTGGTTTTAGAGAGGATAGATGTAACAGCTGCAGGTGCAAGCATTTTGTGGGAGCCCCTGGAGTAAACAGACCCAGGGTACATGGCCACAGCTCAGGATGACAGACCCCCCTTGCCTTCCGCTTTCAGAATCACATCCCCAACCTCCTTCGTGTACGGCGAGTCTGTGGACCCTGCCAGCATCATCCAGCTCGGCGACCTGGAATGCCAGTTTCAAGCACTCAATGTCACCCTTCAGGTACCCACCTATGTCAGGGGAATGATCCCAAGGACCCATGTGACGTGTCTTTTATTGGAAATCAGTGGCAGGGCTGGACTCTCCAAGAGAAGTCATCCCAGCTGTGTTTTTGTGTGTGTGTGTGTGTGTGTGTGTGTGTGTGTGTGTGTGTGTGTGTGTGTGTGTGTGTGTGTGTGTGTGTGTGTGTGTGTGTGTGTGTGTGTCCGCACACAGGTCTTCAAGATTGACAGGGGGAATTGCACACACTGATGAATATTAGTAACAGGCCCACGATGGCAGAGGCCTACACTGGTGTCCTTGGCCAGATGGTCCCCTGAGGGCCCCTCAGGTGTCCCCCATGCCTTTCTCCTTCCATGCAGGGGTGTGCCCTAGAGGACTCGTAGCCTCCCTGTCCTCCCAGGCTAGCCATGTGACTGCCACCCCCTCCCCAAGCAGCACAGATGCATAGGAGCATGGCAGAAGGTGCACACACTCACTCCCCACGCCTGCCTGAATTGTGGCTTACTTGCCTCGATCACAGAACTGTCACCTCCAGCAGCTGCACTCTGTGTGTCCTCTACACACATGATCAAGGCCAAGGGCATGGTTCCTTCTCTAGTTTTTTGTTTGTTTTTTAATTCAAAGGACAGATTTTACAGAGAGAAAGGAAAGAGAGATTTTCTCTCTGTTGGTTTACTTCCCACAGCGGCTGAAGCTGAGCCAAATCTGAAGGCAGGAGCCAGGGGCCTGCTCCACATGTCCGCTGTGCAGGCAGAAACACAAGCACTTTCCTAGGCTGAATCAGAAATGGAACAGCTGGGACCTGAACTGGCGTCCACATGGGATGTTGGCGTCACAGACAGAGGATTGGTGTGCTTTGTCAGCACAGCAGCCCCGTCTATTCCCTCTCTTAACTGAGAAGAGGGGAGATCAGCAGACCACCTTTTTCCCAGAAAGAACCAGGAAGATGTAGGCTCTGGGGGCTCCCATGATCCCTCTGGTGTGTTCAGCTCTACTTACTGCAGGCACAATGGCCAAAACCAAAATGCTGGTTTTTTTTTTTTCTTTCCCCACAACCCTAACTATGTAAACCTGTGAGCCATTCTTAGCCCTCAGGCTGGACAGCAGCATGCATGACAGGCAGACCACACTGCGGGTCGGAGGTCAGTAACTTCTTCTTCAAAGCAGGAATCCCCAGACCATCTGCCAGCTCCATGTGGTTATCTGTAGAGGTAACACAAGCAGGACCTCAGTACACTCCAGTCCATCCTCAATGTGCAAACACGGGGAGATGGAGGCCAGACAGAGCAGGAGCAGGCAGTTCCCGTGCTGCCAGGGGCTGGGCTGAGGACCAGGATATGGCAGACACTGAGCAGACCCCCATGAGGCATGGCCCCCTCCCAGGAGTCATGCATCAGGTGATAGAGGAAGCAGGCTGCCTGCCTGTTGTACCCCCAAAGTCCTGGCTCTATGCTTCCTGGGGTCTTCCTGCCTCTCCCTCCTTGCCTTAGCGTGTGTGGCTGTGGCCAGATCCTAATGATGTTTGCCTGTGGCTTCCCCTCGATGCACTAGGGGTGTGATTAATAACCCTGGGGTGAGGAGCCAGAGGAGGAGGCAGTAAAGCATTTGTGAACTCTCGCAGACAGCGGTCTTCCTCTCTCCACAGTGTTCCCCAGGCAGGGACCCCGAAACCGTGATGGATAACACATGTCCCAGCTCAGAGAGAATGAGCCTTCCTGATCCGCAAGACCCCCAGCTGTCACCCCCTGCCCTTAATTTACAGGGAAGGGAGGGGGAAGATGGGGCAGCAGCTTGGAGACAGTAGGGAGACGGCTGGGATAACACTACTGTCTTTCCCAGTTGCTTCTAGGGGTTAGCCAAGGTTTTTTGTTTGTTTTTTCTTTCCTCTGCATTTTGGTAGTCGGGTAGAAAGCAGATAAGGAGAAGATGGATGGATCTCATTTTAATGGTCTCAACTCTCATCTCTTCTTAATAGTGTTGGAGGTATCCTGCAGTAAAAGGTGGCGTCAAGGAAATGATGTAGAGGGGTTCGAATAACAGACCCTACTAAAGAGGGTGTGTGCTGAAAGAAGACTTGGGGAGCTGCAATTATACCAAAGAGAATGGGCGCTCTTATCACCATCTTCTGTTTAAAAAAAAGAGAGAAATTTAAGAGCCTGCAGTTTACCCTAGCAATGGTTTCCCTTAAGGTGTCTTTTGGAGGCAGCTTAGACTTGGGATTCAGACAAAAAGCTTTCCTGAAATAGGACCCAGGTGGGAGAAGCTTGCTCTGGGGAATTAGTGACTGGCAACATTCCCCGTAGGTAAACCAGTTGGCTGAGCCACTATGGGGCATTCATCTGGGCTGGGATGATGGTTCCCCTGGGAGACAGACAGTACATGCCTGGCCTACCAAGTGACCCTTTTCCCTTAAGAGGTCCCTGCCTGCTGGATTGCTGGTGTAGTTGTCACCCCCAGTGGTCACCTTGCAGGAAAGTCAGCAACTGGGCAGATAGAGGGAAGCAAAGGGAGAAGAATGTGGAGAAGGCACTGCAGTTTTCCTACTCCAGTCATATTCCTGAAGAATACAAAGCTCTCCGTGTGTCTGCATTTTCAGTCTGTGATGCAATGAGCTATGTCATTATTAAAAGACTACTACAAATGCTGATGGAAGAAAGATAAACTTGTCTTGGTCTTGCTCACTAGGGTTTTTCTTTTTTTCGGTTTTTGTAATTTGAGAGACAGAGTTGCAGAGGAAAAGAGGAGAGAAGAGGAGAGAGAGAGAGATTCCATCCACTGATTGACCCCATAAATGGCCATAATGTCCAGGACTGGGCCAGACCTCAGGTGGGAACCAGGAAATTCTTCTGAGTCTCTCACATGGGTGGCAGGAGCCCAGGTGGTCGAGCTGTGTTCCCCTGCTTTTCCAGGAGCCTTAGCAGGAAGCTGGATCAGAAGTGGCACATCAGGGAATCAAACCAGTGCCGATATGGGATGCTGGCACTGCAAGTAACGGCTTAACCCTGTATGTCACAGCACCAGACCCTGTCTGTGCTTAAGAGAGAGGGAAATAAAGAGAGATCTTCTCCAAAAAGTTGGGAGGAAGTCTGAGTCAGGTAGATGCCAGGAGCCTACAACTCCACCCAGGTGTCCCAGGTGGGTGGCAGAGCCCAGCTGTTTGAGCATCACGTGCTGCCCTTCAGGGTGTGTGTTAACAGGAAGCTGGAGCCAACCCAGAGCTGAACCTTGAACCCAGATGCTCCAGAACAGGTCGCTGATCTCCCAAGTGCTGGAGTGCCTTAACCACCCCAGTGAACACTGTTCCCCTTTTTTGATGGAGACACGATCATCTGTCAGTTCTCGCGAGAATTTTGTTTTTTCAATTTTGGCATCGAGAGTCAAAACAGTTCCCCACTTGCAAAACTGTAGGGAGAACTCACGTGCTTGCTGTGCGCGAACCTCTGCAGAGAATCCAACGTTCTGACATGTGTTAAAAATAAACACGGTTGGTTGGGAGGACTCTCCCACCCACAGGAAATGGTGCAAATGAGAATCCTTCCTTCCTTGCACATCCTCCTGTGTGCTGCAAGTGGGAGCTCCCAGCTGTGCTGGCAGCTTGCCTTCCAGGGCCGAGCTCTCGCGTTTCACTTGGCAGTCACTATTTCGCTGGTGGCGGGGCGTCCCTTCCCTTTAGTTGTTTTTAGTGAATTCTGTTCTTCCTAATCAAGACTTGGCAAGAACCAATCACCAGCTCTATCTCTTTTTATATATTTATTCTTTGAAGCAGAACCAGCTAGAGCAAAATAAATAAAAGCCCCGTTGTCTAGGGAAGGACTCGTGGAGCTCAATGCTCCCACTTTCTGCCCCGGGTCAGGATCTGGTGGGATTTCCTGGCCCTACTGACCTCAGCAGCGCCTGGAGTCCTTGAATTCCTTCTCTAAGCCCCAGGCTGCTAAGTGCCATTTCCTCTTTCCCTTTTCTTACTCACTTCCTATTCGTCTTTCATAAAAATTCATTATTCACCTGACAAAAAGTTAAGTTTTTTTTTTAACAGAGCGTCTTTATGAAGCTCACCCACTTAAAGTATCCAGACCGATGGCTAACTGTATGTTTACGAAATCACACTGCCATTGCCAGCAATTAATTCTAGAACATTCCATTACCTCCTTGATGACTCCAGTATCCATCAGCCACTGCTCCATATACACCTACCTTGAAGATACCACAGCCTCCACAATGAAGCCACTGGACCCTTCAATTCAGTCTCCTAAATGATCCCTTGCCCCTCATGTAACACTCTCATGTTCCCACAGAAGAGGTTATGGCCATCTTTGGGGCCCTGCTGTTATGCCAGACACATTCCCTACTCTCAGTTCCCAAGTCCTAAGCAACTGCTGATCTACTTCCTGTCCCTTCAAGTTCTCCATCATAGCCCAGTTCTACCTTGCTTCCTGTTCAGACTCTGTCTCCTCATTCTCACCCAGCTTCTTTGGGTCACCCATCTTGCCCATTCATTTCTTGGGAGACAAGGACTGCTAGAGACAGGAGGTGAAGAGGGAATAAGGAGGGAGCCCAGTTTTGCAGGGACAGGCGGGAACACAGCTGTCTGCTAGCACCTTCAACAAATGAATGGCTGCCATCTGTCCGGTCTCCCCCAGCCCCTACCCAGTCAGCCAGCTCATGTCGTTTCCTCAGCCCTTACCCAGGGAGACCATTTGCTTTAGGGATGGCTCACTTGGTATTTGAAGGACCCAGCTGTCTTGGACTTAATATGAAAGAAAGAGGTTATATCATATTAGTGGTTCTCAAGCAGTGGGTACTGAGCCAGCCAAATCCACCCAGACCCACTGCTGCCCAAACCCCCAGGCATGCTCCATCCCAACCACACCATCTGTGAGCTAATTCATCTTTGGAGGCAGTCCCAATGCTGTGCACTGGGTCATCCCGAGCAGTAGTAGAATTGTGTGATAGTCTATGAGGACATTTCCAGGCATGTGTAAAGAACCATGGTTTTTTTTGGGTAGGAAGAGGATCAGAAAAGGAAGTGAGTCCTTTGACAACCTGAGGTTTATAGGTATCTATCAGAAGCATTTCTGTGACATTGAAATTTCCCACCCTTCACCATTTCATTGTCATTGCAGGTCTTGACAGCACACCCTGCTCCTGCCACAGATGCAAAGCCCAACATTTCCATGCATGAGCTGGTAATGCAAAGTGCATGATAACTGTGAACTGAAGGTCCATGCTTTCCATTGCCACAGGTCTTCAATGCCGGCCCCAGCACGCTTCCGGCATCCTCTGTCAGCATCTCTCTCCCCAACCGACTGTCACCTGGTGGCGCAGAGATGTTTCACGTCCAGGACATGGTGGTGAGTTCTCTGTGGCTGTCACCATTGCTTGGCGTTTTGTCTTCCACTCGCTGCCCCTGACCCTTATGCACACTGGAGGGCCCAAGAAAACGGAGCCCATTTGGAGGCACATTCTGGGGCAGGTAGGGCACCTGTGATCACTTAGTCCAGTGAGGCAGTTGCAGTAATACTATAGAAGACAGCCTTGGGGATGTGGGAGAGGTAGCTAGGCATGAGCCCATGTGGTAGGCCTCTGTGTGACTGTCTGTAGACGTGTGTGTGTGTGTGTGTTTGTACGTGGGTGTATTTCTCTGAGAAGATCCCTACCATTCTTCAATATTCTCAAAAGGGTTCTGATGCTTAGAGGATGACGGCCAAGTGCATCGACATGGATTGAAATTGAAGTTCTTGCACAGGCTACGCCAGTCTGCCTGGTCTTGATTCGGTTGGAGACCCGCTTGTCTCCAGGGAAGCTTACTAAAGCATGTGTGATCGTCATCACCTCTCAGGCGTTCTCCTTGGCCTCCAGGATATCACTCTCCCAGTGTCGTCTTACTCCTCATCTCCCCAGCTTCCTATCTGCTGCCCCCGGTGTCTGCAGTCTTGCCCAAATTAGTGGTTTTCAATCCAGTCTGTGATGCCACTCAACCTCTCCTGCCAAGATCACTCCCATGAATTTCAAACTCTGACAGTTGACTGCCTCCAGCCTGTTTTCAATCCAGGTGACTATAGCAGGGTCTCGGTGTAAGCAGAGTTTCTGATGGTACCCTTCCAAACCTGTTCCTCCTGTCAATCTTGCTTGTCTCAGAAAATGCCACTCTGCCTTCCTTTGCTCGGGTCAGAACCATGGGGCCTTCCCTCTTGCTTCTGTTCTCATACGCTTCAGCAAGCTTCCAGCAAGTCTGAGGTTGCTGGCTTCACAACAGATTCACAAAGTTACCATTTTTCACCCCTCCACTGCCAGAACCCTGGGCCTGGGCACCCTCACTCGTATCCCTGCTTCTGCCCATGCCCAGTCATAGTCTGTCATCAGAGCAGCAGAACAGTCCTCCAAGAGCCAAAGTCAGGCCCTTCCCCTTCTCAAAACCTGCCTATGTCTTGTCTTCTCTTCTCTCCATGTTCTTCCAGCTGGCCCCAAAGTCTGCCACCAGCCTTCTCCATCCTCCTCTCTTTATCATCTTCTCTCCTTCTCCTCCCACTCCGGACACACTGCCTCCTTGCTGTTCCTGCAGTGTGCTAATCCCGCCCTGTGGGAGTTTGTCTTCTCCATCTTGCTCTACTTGGATGGCCCGTCTCCCAACTTCCTCAGGTGCTTCCTGATATCACCCATCAGTGAGACCCTCCCAGGCTAGTCTCTTCCTCCTCCTGTCCTGCTCCCATTGCCCCATCACCTCATCATGAGCCCGTCTCTCTGCTGAATCTCCAGGACCCAGCACAGTATTTGACATCACCTCTTCAAGTAGTGGGGACTGAAACCAACAAAACCATACTGCAAAGACCCTTTCTAATGGAATTCAGGAAAACTCTCTTGCTAAAAAAACACTGGATGGGAATCTCTGTCCAGAGATTTGGGTTTTGATTGCTGAGGGGTGACTCAGAACCACTGGCTGTGTACTCCTACCATGTGTTGGACTCTTATGAGGCCAGGTTCAAAGGTGGTGCCCACTTGGTGAGCCCTGGGCACAAGGGGCATCAGTCAGTGTACACGGACAGCACGCATGTAGTGGCATATCATCAAGGATCTAGGAGCATTGCTGTCTGAGTGAGACAACCTCCCCAGCGTAACGCAGACACCTCTGAGCCCAGAAGCCAAGTACACATGAGGCCATCAGGACGCTGCCTCTGGGCATGCTGACCATGGCATCTGGCATTGTTGTCCTCCTGGGTAACGTGAGCTCTAAAATCTTTCTGAGGCACTTGCTTGCTCATTTGTGCACCTTGCGATCTCGCATTCATGTTCTCTGGTCAGTGGGCTTTACTGAACCAGCAGAGGAAAAGTCTTCTGTAGCAAAAGTATTCTGTAGCAAGGTCGTGAAGTTAACAAACCATGTGCACACCCGTCTACCCTCTTAGACCGTACTGATCAGACTGCGTAGTGAGCCTTCTCCCTGATGGTCTCGGGATGTTGTGCAGCTGTAAGAGGTATGCAGGACTGGAGAGAGATTGTAGACCCATAGGAAAAGTTACTCATTGGCCAAATGTGAAGAGGCCACATTGGCCAATGAGTACTCCACTTGGCTCATTAACTTCACATACATTTGGCCAATGAGTAACTCAGAGGCCAGGGTAGGGTGGTGCCAAGGGCTGTAATTGCAGGTAGAGTGGCCCGGGAAGGGAAGGTGGTGAAACTGTCCCACAGGTGTGGGTCCTGAGTTCCTTGGGCAGGAACCCATTGCCAAGTCCATGTTTCCTGGAAAGCCCCACCCTTGACCTCAGCCCTGCTTGATTTCTCTCCATGTCCTGGGATTTTCTCCCTGGACACTGGTGTTATGTGTTCGTATGCGTGTGCGTGGGTGCACGCATGCTCGTTGGCATTCCTCATGCAGGATATTCTGCCATCACGTGAGTTGTTGGTGACCGTGACATGGATATCTCAAGCTGGCATGTGTCACTTGTGAGAAGAGTCCAGGGCTCTGTGACTGAGCCACTTGGGCAGGATCACCATGCCCCTTACAGCTGACATGGTGGAGGTGGAGGTGCCAGGCTGGGCATCTCAGAGGCAGTCGGGGTAGAATTGAGCAGCCAGTGCCTGTTAGGAGCATGCTGGTTCCCTGTCTTTGCTCTTAATTTTGTCTGCGGAGATCCAAGGGCTTGGTCAGCAGCAGACCTGCTGTTTGATGGGGGCTTCCAGCCTTGGTGCCCCTGTGTGGCAGGAAAGAGCCAGAGAGCCCAGCAGGGCTAGGAAGTGGAGGTCATGGGACCCCACCTCTAGGCCTGCAGGGAACGCTGTCTGTCAACTTTTTTCCCAGCACAGCAAACCATGTTCCAGCAAGTTTTTGCTAAGCCACCCTAGTGCCCTTCAAATCCCACTGTTATGACTACCTTCAATTCTCCAAGCTCTCCTTCCCCTGCCCGTACCTCCCCCATCCACTTCTTCCCAGCTCAAATGCAAAACAGTTGCCTCCTTCCCTCCTGGAGAGAAGTTGAGCTGTTACTTAATCATTCTCACCCTTGCTTTCCAAAAAAGATTAGTGTCACTTTCGATCCTTTGTTCCTGGCTGCTTGGCTCGCCCCATAGTCTGTAAATTCCTAAAAACCCAACTCTGAATGTGAAGGACCACGCCTCTTTACCTAGCCTCTGCCAAGTACAGACTGCTGTTTCCCAGGCGGCAGGGACCTGGCTTATTACCCGTGCAGTCTGGCCCTGCTGATTGCTTGGTGTGACTCTCAAAAGCATCTCAGGTCTCCAAGCAGCCCCATCCTTACCCCTCACTTGTCTTACTGCCACTCTTGACCGGCCAGGCTGCTGCACACACACTGCATGGGTGTGCAACCTCTTGGCCTTGCCCGTGGCTTCTACTTTCTCTCTGGCTATGGGAAGTCCATGCATAGCTCAAGACCCAATCCACCTGCCTTCTCTTCCAGCAAAAACTTCCACCTTGGACCCTGCTACTATCAGGGAAACCCATCCCACTCAGCTGTTCGCAAAAGTGTGTGCCCTTCTCTTAATCCTAAATCCACCTGCTCAGTGAGTCCTCCCTGGCCACTGGACCTGAAGCTGCAAACCCCCTCATTCTCTGTTCCATGTCCCCTAACAGCAAACTTCGTCCCTGTAAGCTTTGGCCACAGAAGCTGTGAAAGTATGCTTCTGGGGTCTGGCATTGTGGTGCAGTGGGTTAAGCCACCAGCTGCCATACTGGCACCGCATATGGGTACGGGTGTCACTTAGAGATCTGGCTGTTTGGCTTCCCATCCAGCTCCCTGCTAATCCCCATGGGAAGGCAGTGGGGAATGACCCAGGTGATTGATCCCTTGCCACCTGTGTAAGGAACCGGAAGGAAATTCTAAGCTCCCAGCCTCATTCTGGCTCAGGCCACACCATTGTAGCCATTTCAAGGTATGAACTAGTGGGTCAAAGATTGATTCATAGATTCTCTGTCTTTCTTCTGTCTCTCTCTGTCTCTCTGTCTCTCCCTTTCAATTAAATAAACCTTTAAAAAAATGACATGTATTCTGCTCCGCCCCCGGCTCCCACACCTGTGTACTCATCTCAGCAGCACCCCCTTATCTCTGCTTGGGTGTGAAGATGAGCCACCGTGGAGCCAAGCTCCTGAAATGGACCAGGATGGGAATTTACATTTTTTTCTCAACAAAAGCCAGGCAGTTGCAAGATGGAAGATGGCAGGTTGAATTCTGGAGCAGGGTTCCATCCCTGGGCTGTGGTTAGTTTGAGCTCAGCCAAGCGAGTAAGCATGTACGTGTGTATGAGTGTGTGTGCATGTGTGTTGTGATTACATGTCTATGCGTGCGTGTGTGTGCAGAGTGTACATGAGTGTGTGAGTATGTGTGTAAGAGAAAGAGAGAGGGAGAGACCCTGGGCTCGCACCCTCTGGAAAGCAGGGTGAGCATGGGCTGCCTGAGGAGCCCCACCTGCTTCGACAGCTGCTCTTTAACCCTGTGCACACAGAATCAGTCAGGGCCACCATGTTGTCCCCTGCTGACTGAGATGCCCAGGCTGGTCGCGGTGCCTTGATGGCCTGTGCTCACAGCTGCCATGACATCTGGAAGTGTTAAGGTCTCACGGCTAGCGTGGGGAGCAGCTGAAGTGCCGATCCCTCGGTGCCTGGTGTGTTTTCCAGGTCTCCATGTTTCCCAACTTGATAGCTGTACATCCCGGAGATGGCAGGACAGGGAACCAGCATTTCACCAAACGAATGCATTGCTCAGGGACTGAGTCGCGTCTCGGGAAGGGAGACAGGCTCATTCAGGAGCCAAATCAGCGAAGCGTTCCGCGTCCAAAACATGTTAGCCAGGGAAGGAAAGCATCTTCGGCATGCGCAGTCCAGTGCTCACATAACATA